CATACATTTTTCCGTCAGGAAATGTGACAAAACTTTTGTGAATGCTTTCTTGTTTTACAAATATTTGTTGAATTCTACGATGTATTCTATTTTATTTTGCAATGCTCGTGTAGCTAATAAGGTGCTGTGTGTACGCTTCAAATTGAACCTTCATAACATAAACATGCCAGGAATGCCTTTAAACAAAAACAACTGAATATGGAAATATTTCAATGTAGAGGAGAGATGATATTATGGTCAGTGTAGATATAATCCCTTTTAATATTTCCGCTATTAAGTGACGAATTCTAACAATTACTTATGGAATTGTTTACTTAATAGCTCGCCGTTATCACAACACGACATTAATATATCAATATACATTATTCAGCATTTATTATTATAACGTATTTTTACTTTCAAACATTTTGAACTGTTTTTAAGATACATTTTAGTATTTAATTACGCATATTTTCCTATTGTTTCTTAAACTTAAACGTATTATCACATGAATATATGTAATGTACAAATAATATATGTGTTCTTTGTTATTTAACATTTTATTTGGTTGTATATAATTCGAGTTGCAAAGTAAAACATTAGTGTGACATTTTGCTAATGTGGTCCAGATAGCACAGAATAAATGTTGATAAATATTTATTATTATTTTTTGAAATGTTATACAAATATTTCATACATTTTATATAAAACTTTATTCAAAATATTATTAAAAGATATTATTAAAAGACTAAATACATATTTAATGTAATAATGTATGATAAATATAAATAAATATTTTTAGTAAATATTTTTTATTTGAATTGTAATGTTTTATTAAGAGTATTTCCATAGCATTTACTACAAAATTTATAATAAATATTTCATAATACTTATAATAAATTTATGATCTATATATGATCTTTTATAGTCTCAATTTGAGACTATAAAAATATTTACAAAATATTTAAAATAAGCCTTACAAATATTTATAAATATTTTGTAAATACTTTATAAATATTGCATTTTGTCTGGGGTATATATATGAGTCGTATTGCATCATTAGAAACATTGTGTTAAACACTGTGTCACTTTATGTCTATGC